GCAGGAATGGAGTTGATGCTAATTGTTACATTTAAAATTTCATCACTCAGAACATGATTAGCAAGACATTCCTGAAACACTGTTTACATTGATTTCTGTAATGGATGACTTCCTCATCAGATATCAGAAGCAGCTTGGTCTTGCAGGTAAAACAGAGCAGATCTACACAGACTTGTGTCCGTTCCCTCCAGTCTAGGTGCAGAATGAGTGGTTTATGGGAAAGCTTTGTTAGCTATGTATCAGGATTCATCCATCCTACAAAATAACAATTTGACAGCTATATTATTTTTCCAGATTCTGCTTTTGAAGAAAAAAATACTATCCTGTCAAACTACATTCCTGAGATGAAGAGATACGAAAAACAAATAGCTCTACATGTGTCAAGAGCAACTTGACACTTGTTCTATTGCAAATGATGTTCAGCGCCTTCATTCCCAAGGCATTTTGAAGCTGACACGTCATCCTACTCTTATTCTGACAGCTCAGAATATGGAAAATGAGCATTTACAGGATCTGTCTCCCACTATAACAACAGGATCAGAGACATTAAACACTTCCATGGGAGACTGAGTTCCTACCCCTAGTTTTCTGGCATATGACAGATTGTGTTTCACATTAAGTCATTTGATGGGGTTTTGCCAGTATATAATGCCAAATAACAGGGTGTAAATCTACAGGTGAGGAGAAGATTAGGGTGCTACATAGCAGCTCTGCAGTTTTTAAGAGTTGGATATGCACCATTTCACCATGCAGGGAAGTTTTGAGTTCCCAGACAATCTTAGGGAAGTTGAAGTTTGAGGCTAACATACGGCTGAAACCTCCTTATCCTGCTCCCCACCCTCACAGTCACACTGTATCAGTGAAGTCCGTAGAGCCTGGATGTCACTGGAAGCACATAAAAGCTTCTATACAGCTGTGCCATTCAAAGAAGAATAGGTGTTATGTAATGGAGAGATGTAGCTCTTTTCATTCTTGTGCAGTGTTATAAATTCATTTCCCTGAACAAACAGCATTAGGAGAAAAATTTAACACTATAATAATCAATGAAACCAGAAAACAAGGAAATATGCTTGATAAAAATATTCTATCAGTTATACTTTCTAAAGTTTTTTATTATTATATTTTCTAGGCATGGATGCTGTAAACAATTATGGTGTTATTTTTTGGAACGGTGGCTCAGGAGGGCTGCCTCCAAATGAAACCACTTTTGCCAAAATAGTGCAGCAACAAGGCTACAGCACGGGACTAATAGGTATGGAGAAATTTCTGAAGATGGCATAGAACGAGTTTCACTTGCATATCTCACTCAAAGCATTTGGTTTAATTAGCAACTGGTCGTACTTTGGTTGCAGTGCTTTTCTTTCCTGATCCAAGATTATCCTGTAAGAAGAAATTCTGAACAAAAATAATCTCTCATAACAACTGTCCACTAAAGAGAATAATCTTTACTGTTGACCTGCTTTCAAACATAGCTGTGGTTGTTAAAAACAAAATGGCCAATATGTTGTTAAAAATATTTCTTCAATAGTATTCTACTAGCAATATGGCAATCATCCCAGTACTATCTTCATAAAAAACAAATACATGAGTTCTATTTAAATATACATCCTAATGTTTTATACAGTTCAGAGCTCATTCACAAGTAGTACAAAAGGGAACGGCTGCTACTGAAAACAATAGTATCAATTTACAATATCAGATGATTTGGTCTTTCAAAAACAGAAACAGCACAATTATCTCATCTTTAATGACAATGTGCCACTATAGTCGACCAAGATCTCAATACAGCCCACAAAACACGGCATCCTTCAGACTCATTAATAAGAGTTCAATTTTACTTTATATTTTACAGGACATTCTTTAATACAATTGTAACTTTTGGTCATGATCCAGTTTCAAATAATTATTTATCTTAGATATGTCAGTTTCACATCCTGAAAAAACACAAACGTTCCTGAGGCGACTTTTCAGTGATTCACCCTACCTCATCTGAGCATTCCAATAGCCAAAATCTATGTTTCACACACAGAAACCTCACTTGCAGAAATAAACTGAATTTACTAAACGTTTCTGCAGCAATGGGCTTGTATTTATTCTGTACAATAAATCTAAAATGTAGAGGGCAATAGTAAATGAAATCCTCCAAGCATTTTAAGTTGTGTATTATTTAATCTTCTTCTCCTTTTAGTTTTGTAGTGATATTATTTTAATTGTTTAAGAATACCAATAAAACAGTCCGTATCCATTTGCCAAGTGCTTCTACTTGGCTTCAGTACGTAAGCACTAACAAAACAATGACACTTGTCTCCACTTTGTCAGAAGTATTGCCCTGCACGGAACCTGTGCTGCATCCCTCCAATAAGCTAGTTAGCCGAAATGGGCTGGCATTGTCCCTGTGGGCATCTAAGCTAAAATCACATCACAGATATCAAGAGCATCACTTAGTCCAACAAGACTGACAGTTTCTGACGAACTGCATCGTAAGGGATGATGGAAAACATTGATGATGAGTGAGGCTAGCAAATGTAATAATAACTTTACATTCCAGTCAGGAAGCAAGAAATCTTACACAGTGTCTGCCCACATCAGCATGGCTGAATGAGCACTAAATTGACTCACCTGAAAGGTTCATAACTGTTTTGTTTTGAGCACAAACAATTTAACTGCAAAGTTAAATCCCATTAATTACCAGCTGCTTGATGTGACAAGCAAACTTTTAGTTGGGAAACACTTTGAAGATTCTTTGTAGTCTGAAAGACAATGTTTTGTAACATATGCTCTCACAGATTAATTTCTCTTAATTATAAACTTAATTTTTCTTAAATAGATACTTAAATTATCCTCTAGACCTGAGTCTTACAGCATGTCAGAAGCTTTTTTCAACCTCATCTGGAAATGGTGCTAAAGTGCTACTGAAATCTAAGGATACCATATCTACACCTGTATTTATGACCTATACATCTACATATTGATTACAAATCTATTTCATTGTATGGATTGCTCTTAACATGTCAAGGCAAACATGGCAAGAGGCAAAATGAATAGTGATTTTGGCTGAGAGAAATCCATGCACCTAGATTATTAGAACTTTTACTCTTTCTTTGTACTGACATCCAAAAAGTAGCATTCTTTTTCCCTGAAGTAGAAATTTTATTGTAATCTACTCAGGGTTGAGTGCTAGCATACTGTTAGTAATATTGTAAGCCAATTGTTCAGGATAACATCTTTTTGTAAATGTACCATTCTTTATTCCATGATAAGAATTGGTTGCAAATCAGTTTTCAAGTAAAAGTCAAAAAGTACAGACATTTCAATTTGATCTATAAAGGCCTGCATTGCATCAAAGATCATTGAATGCAGCTAAATTGCATCTCTCTTGTGAGAAAAATGAGATTCTGGTCACTGGACTCAGACAATCACCACCGCCCATTTTTGAGCCAAATCAGCTAAGTTATTAAGTTTCTGCGTAAGTGCATAACCAGTCCGTTTGAACAGACGAGAGGGGAAGCGAGAGCTTTATTCTGATGGTTCCTTTATCATGATGGACATATGTTCACAATAAAGGACAAATAGTATTGCAAAAGGTCATGGGATGTTTCTTTCTATATGAAGGCTTCATAATTTAAAAGAAAGGGGTTCCTGATGTCTTTGACTTTTTAAAAATTGATAAAATATAAATAAATGGCAAAAATACTTATAAAACAAGGCTTTTTACTCTCATCCAGTATACAGAGGTATTACAGTCACCAAAGTTACGTACGTGTAACTTGAGGAGAAATCCTGATCATCTCATTCTTTCCTGTGCTAAAGTTCTTCTGGATCTGCTGGTTTGTCTGGCAAACCGGCTGTTGCACCACAAACTATTTGACTATGCTATCATGTAGCCCACAGTTCCTCTTATCGATCAGGCACCAGCATGTCATTGAGAGGTCTCACAGTCCTGACATTAACCTATTGAAAGCTTTCCAGCTTTCTCCATTGCATGTCAAAAGTAAAGGGATAAAAGAACAATGTTATTTTGCACTGTACTTACAAAAGGACTTTTTCCTCCTATTTCATACCTGGCAGGTCTCTGAAAAGGCCATACATTTTTAATGAGTTCTGATAATCTGGATGCTTCTCAATTTTTAGTTCCTATATTATTCGCATTTTTTTACATTTGACCAAAGCTTTGGGGCATGAATCACCAGTAACTCTAGTGGAAATTTATATGCTATACAGGTTTGCCTTCATCAGTCGTAAGATATACCGTATTACATCAGTTTGTACTCAAAATATATCTGTAGGATGAGGAACTTAAGTAGAAAAAAATATATATTTTTTAAGAAATGTTTTGTAGGAGGAAAAGCTAATTTTTGAATATTATTTCTTTACCTGTTAACAATGTGTATTTTCAGGGAAGTGGCATCAAGGTGTTAACTGTGAATCCCGCAATGACCATTGTCATCACCCTTTAAACCACGGGTTTGATTATTTTTATGGCATGCCTTTTACACTAATAAGTGACTGCCTAACAACAGAACCTCCAGAGATGGACAGAGAATTTAGAAGGAAACTCCTGCTTTACACTCAGATGATTGGTCTTGTTACAGTCACTTCTGCCCTGGGAAGACTTACTGGCTTGATTTCAGTCAGCTGGAAAATGGTGACCTGCCTTGGTGGGTTTAGTCTTCTGTTCTTTGCATCCTGGTTCTCAAGTTATGGATTCATAAGATACTGGAACTGCATTATGATGAGAAACCATGAAGTTACAGAACAGCCAATGGTGACAGAAAGGACTACATCCCTTATCCTGAGGGAGTCTATTTCGTTTATTGAAAGGTAAAGTGTGCTTCGTTTGAACATGCTTATTCCAGTTCTTGCGTGTCTTGCAGGATATCAGCATTTTCGCATGAGAACTATTCCTTGTAATTTGTGTAATATTATATAGGATGATAATATTATTATTATACCTAATAATTATTAATTATTGATGTTATTAATGTTATTACAGTACTAAACCAAAAATCAGTTACAGTTTGGAGATATCTGTTATTCTCAGCTTCATTATAACTCATAATTTTTCTAAACTTTCACATGTTAAATTGAATATTTCTAAGCAAGTTTGAGGAAATATGTATTTCTACCTATAAAAGCATCACTGCTGCTTTGAAGGATAGCAGCTTATAGCAGAAACGTGTGTGTGGGCAGGAACAGGAGTGGGGGAAAGGTCAAAGCTAGCAGAGGGGAAATAGAGCCATGAGGTTGCCTTGTCATACGGACTGACACGTGTGGACCAGATAGCAGGAAATGAATCTGCTCCCTTGATTTCAGTAGTACTGTGATGGTTTGCAATAGAAGAAAGTGGAGTGAGTGTGTATGTGAACTCTGCCTAGGTATGATTCAGGGAAAAAGAGGCTCATTTTATATAAGCCAAGTATTACTTTGTGAGATGGATTGTAGCCATTAGATTTTAATACCTTTCAAAGAAAGATGTTTTTGAAGTCACTACTGAAAGATTTATGCAAATCATAATACCAATTTCCATTATGAATGACCTCTGTATGTACTGAGGACCTTCTTCCCTAACAACAAAGTGTTGATTTCTGTTTTTTAGAAATAAGTACAAGCCATTCCTCCTCTTTCTTTCCTTTTTACATGCCCACACCCCTCTCCTCACCACAGAGAAGTTTCTTGGGAAGAGCAGCCATGGTTTATATGGAGATAATGTAGAGGAGATGGACTGGATGGTGGGTAAGTTGCCATAGCAAATATCAGTGTCTCCAGCTACCTAATATCGAAGTCTAAATGTATAATAGAAAAGGCAAGGCAGTTATTGTTGAAAGAACAAGGAAGAGAAACAAAAGCAAGAAAGAAAAAGGCCTGTATTTGTCACAAATATCTGTCATTTTATGAGCACTGTTGGCTTATATTTTGGACTTTTTCTTTTCTCTGGTCTTGAACCAAATGAGTCTTTCTGCTCATTCATCTTTTTATGGTCTAGTGTTTACTAAGTTTTAACCATGTCCCCTTGGCCCCTTGTCAAAGGTAACCAGCTGCTCTTCTTTCTAAACACTATACGGAGTGAGAACTATTTAATTTTCCATGATTATTCAAGATCAGGTAATTTCAGCCTCTTATGACCTCTTCTTATCTATTTCTAAGGAGGGCATGTCAGAAGGCAATAAAACTGATAAGCACAATAATTCCAGATGTAAACCCAGAGGCTACTTGTCTGTCGATGCTATATTCAGCGGACTACTGAATGTTTTTCAGTCCTTTCACAAATCCAGAAAGGTTCATACGTATTAATTGATGTGCCTCCAGAAATCAGATTCATGTTATTTTTCAGCTTGTATTTTTTTTTTTTTTGAAGGGGAAGGAAGGTTATTTATCATTCAGTCATGGAGGATGAAAAGTAGCTATCTTTGCAAAAGAGATAAGAATCAGGTACATATGCATACATATCATGTCTGTGACTGAGGTTTTTACTCTTCTGTTACAATGCAGGCAATAAAGGCGTTATAGTGCATCACAAATTTTCCATGCATTTACAGACTCTGAAATCACAGATATAAATCTTAATCCTACAAAACATTTATTTTAAACAATAAGCATCCCTACATAGGTTGGCCTAGATGAGAAAATATATGGATGAATGTTTGCGAGTCAGATGCTGTAAGTTATATAAGCTGTGTTTTTGCTTTTTAATACTTGCGTATTCCTGTGCTTACAGGCCAGGTTCTAGAAGCTATTGACAAGGAAGGCTTGAAAAATATTACGCTAGTTTACTTTGCCTCTGATCATGGTGGATGGCTGGAAAGACAAGAAGGGAAAAGGCAGCTGGGTGGTTGGAATGGAATATACAGAGGTAAGAACTGTCAAGGGATGGTGACAATCCAGGAACAACTAAGTAAGTGCTCAGGGCACCTCTAAAGATAAGATTGTGTGCTCAAGGATTAATGGTGTTTCATCATTTAGAAGAGGATTTGTCTCATTCTAATTATACATTCCAAAAATCTAGACAATTCTAGTATGTGCAGATGTTCCTTTAAAGCATGAATTCTCAAACTGGCACTTCCTTCTGAGGCAACTGATCACAAGCTAATTTTGATTAATAATGTGTAACTTCTTGTTCAATGTTTTTATCTGCACCTTACATGTGAACCCTTACTTGCTGCAACAGGAATGCTATATGACTTCAAGAAAGAGAGAAGAACTATGCTGGGAAATCATTTCATGTCTGAAAATTTTATCCATGCTAGGTTCTAATGGGACAATCTGTAAACCAACAAAAGGGAGTAAGTGTGTGAGGTCATTTGAGGGCTCTACTGTAGTGAAAATGCTATCACTGATATTGAGGAGAATGATCTTCATGGTAAAACCAAAAAGCTAAGGAAGGCTAAATGATAACATGAGTCAGTTTATGTCAGTACAATTTCAATTGTCTAGAATTTCTCTTTATTTTTAATGAAAAGTTTGTTTTAATGAAAATTTGTTTTTTTAATGAAAGGTGGAAAAGCTATGGGAGGCTGGGAAGGAGGAATCCGTGTCCCAGGGATATTTAGATGGCCAGGAGTGTTACCTGCAAACACAGTTATTGATGAACCAACAAGCCTTATGGACATTTATCCTACAGTAGTACATCTGGCTGGAGGAGTAGTACCCCAGGACAGGTACAATAGTGCAAAGTGTCTTTACTACTCCTTTTTTTCTGAAGATGATGGAAAATCCAGTTTTGAAACATTCTGAAAATCTGAGGATTTCTTTTCCACTCCTGCTACTTTTCTAGGTCTGTAAATGTTACCACAGTTTATTTACCTCTTTTTTACATTTGAGATTCAGCATCTACTCATAAACCTTCCTTGATCAGCGTTGTCACATCCAACAAAAGGTGTGCATAATGAAGGCAGTAATGGGCAGCTTAGCCCAGTATTGGTGGTTTCCATTTTTTCTGTTAGGGTAATTGATGGCCGGGACTTGATGCCTCTACTGCAAGGAAAAGTTCAACACTCAGAGCATGAGTTCTTGTTTCATTACTGTGGCGTTCATCTACATGCAGTGAGGTGGCACCAGAAGGACAGTGAGTACTGAAATTCTTCCCCAAGAACCAGGTTCAGTCTATGGGGGCAGAATAGCCTGTCATGGTTATTCTGCGATTGCAGCTTTTCAAGTAGTTCCAGCTGTAATGTGATAAATAACTTGCTATTATTACCTATACTTATATGAGAGAAAGAATTCTCTTCAAGGCATACGATATGAGGTCTATCATGTGAGGCAGGATACTGGGGCTTAACAAAAAATTCTGGCAGCCCACAGGTTTTTCCCTCTCTACCATGTAGGTTGTAGTTCTCACCTAGCTCTGAATGCAAGGCCTGAGAAGTCCATGCAACCCTTACCTGATGGAGAAGTCCTTACCTCAGTCCCTTGTCAAAACTGAAGATGTTCTTCTGCTACTCAGATAAGGAAACTGCAAAATCTTGTTTTCTATAGAAAAAAAGTCAGGAAAAACTGATGTTTTGGAGAAATTTTGGGGAATTTTTGGAGAAATTTAGAAATATGACAGAAATCTCAATTTTACATTTTTTAGTTTAATTTTATACCATTTAATTTTTAAATGGAAATACTATCTAAACCAGTAAGTCGAAAGCTGAAGCACAGCCCTCCTCCCAAAAAATGAACTTCTACAAAAACATTAAGTATTCTAGTGCTTTGTGATAACCACCAGTACCTGCAACATTTCTTTCTTTCCTACCAGGTGGAGCCATCTGGAAGGCTCATTATGTGACCCCAGTCTTCCTTCCACCTGGGGCTGGAGGTTGTTACGAGAGAGGATTTTGTCCATGCTTTGGGGAAGGTGTGACCCATCACAGTCCTCCGTTGCTGTTTGATCTCGCACGAGACCCTTCTGAAACCAGACCTCTAGCGGCTGACACTGAACCCCTCTTTGACACTGTAATAAAGAGGATTGGAAGAGCCATTGAAGAGCATCGCAGGACACTGACTCCAGTCCCGGAGCAGCTCTCCTTGTACAACGTCATATGGAAGCCGTGGCTGCAGCCGTGCTGTGGGACATTCCCATTCTGTTGGTGTGATAAGGAGGGCGATAACAAACTTGCTGATCTATAAAAGAAAGAACAAAATGTTGCTTCCTCAGAAGTGTTTTCAGACCAAGAATGCCTTTTAGTGGTGGTGTTTGGTGTTTTTTTGCTTTTCTTTTAATGGATCCTATGTTTGAGAATTGTTCCAGTGGATGGCACTGTATTTGGTAAAAGTTGCTTTAGGCAGGATACTGCCACAGAGGGATCAAGACAGTACATTCTCAGTAGCATGTTTTAACTTCTATCTGCTGATAACTGAATGATGAATTCAAATGCACTGAAGTAGGCCAACACTAGAGCTGTACTATTAACAAAATAACTTATCTTTTGCTCTTTGTAAATGTAAACTTGAAAGCTTTACTTTTTTTCTTTTGTTCTGAATTTCTAAGTCATTCCACCGAGGTCTCCCTTAGTGTTACTATTTTTATTGGCAATGCTTAAGAGGTATCCTGTAAAATGTTTTTGCAGACTACTTTCCCTCCTGCTCCAAAATAATTCTTCCCATTCTGTTGCACACAGAATCTTCTTTAAACGTAGCTTCCTTTGTTCTTTGTTGCTTTGTTGTACTTCCTCCAGCAGAAGTGATGATGGCAGCTGGTAAGCCTGGGGCTTCTGGATCAGGAGTAACTACCCAGGTGAGGCAGTTGCCCTGGAAAGTTATGTAACAGATGTCAGCACTTGCTGAGAAGGATGGGATTCCTCTGATCAGTGCCAGCCTCTTCCAATGGAAAACAGAAGAGGGAAGGGACTTTCCCTTTCCAAAGCTACCATTGCACACAGCTCCCTGAGCAGCGCTGGGAAGGCCAGAGTGACACTGCATTGTACACTGTTGCAGAACTGCAACACTGATAACCAGCTTAGTTTTTTTGGCACAGAATTACACAAGTTCTCTTGCTGCCCATACCTCAGTCACAACTGATTCCTGCTAGCAAGTAATAGGTTCAAACAAGACTCTTTGAAAGATGTCCAATAATAATTTGAAAGCTAACAAACTTTAATTTACAGTCAAAATAATGAAATGCAGAATAAAGGCATTTTTTGCTTCATAAATTACATTCTTCATCTCACCGAACATTTAGTCTTGCTAATCTATCTCCTTTCCTTAGCTGCTATAAATCCTGTTCTTCCCTTCTTGGTGTTAAAATAGTTGTTCCTATTAAGGTGGCCTTGCAAGGTATAAAATATATCTGACCAGATCAATAAGCTTACACTCATATATCTGAATACGGATGTATCTGACAACATAATTTGCCCCTCAGATTTATTTCGCATTTTTCACTGTTTCTCTAACTGTTGTGCGAGGGCCTATTTCTCTCGTTCATCTAATTTGATTGACATTAATTTTTATTCTCCCACTCTTTTCCCACAATTTGACCTATCAAGAGATCTGCAGGTAAATAAATTCCTATGGTGTAAAAGCACATTATATTGTACGCTCTAACCTCATGCATCTCAGTTCATTCACCCAGTTGCTCTTTCACTGCTATCGATAAGAAACGCCCTCAATTTTACTATGAAAACTTCAATAGATGAAGTGAATCGATGAAGTCGTCGGGCACTAGATTGTTCCTTAATTTTCTCCATTGTTGAGAGTATGTGCTTTATTTCTCCTTTGAATTCATTTGATTTCATTGGTTCTTTCTTGGCTAGATTTAAAGGTCTTTTCATATCCAATATCTAGTATTTTCTTGACATAAAATTACTGTAATAAAACCAACATTTTTCAATTTCTTCAGTCTTTTTCTAAGACCTTCCACTCTCAAGCCAGTTTATTAGCTGGGGTATTATGTCTCCACAATATTTCAACACCTTTTAAAATATGTAGAATAAGACCTGTTCATAATATTCCAATATGCGTCTCACAATACTATATTGCTGAGAAAATACTTTTCAGATCTTGCTCTGTTTCATCTTTATGTGACTGAACTATCCTTTTTTTACACACGAATACTGCCTACCATTGTAATATATCTATTTGGAACTAGGGTACAGGAAAACATCTGAGCTACAATTTATCCTGGCCATTGGGTTTTGCCCATGAAACTACTGCTGGTACACAAATTGCCATGGGATCAACAAACAGTCAGAGCCTGGTAACATGAACATTGCACATATAACACTCATGAGCGTCAATAAAGACTACCTTCACAAAATCATGCTGTCTTTTCTTCTCCTTTTGGGGAGTCAGTAGACGATGGTATCCTACTTTCTTGTGCAGCTGCAACAGAAGAAAAATACTTTGGGATTTGTTAATTTTCTCTTTGAGAACTCTTAACCTTACATTCATCAAACTAGACCACTACTTTTCCTCCTTGTACAGATTGATTAGACTCACATAAAACACTGTACAATTCCTGCCTGCAGTGCCAGCATCCAGTTTTCCCTTCCTGAGAACAAATAATACAGGTACGAACTTGAATTTCCTGGATCCAGGCTTAAGTATTTCCCAACAATGGCCAGTATTTTCAGATTTTTATGATGGAATTAATCTCACCTAACTTTAAACAACTGAAAGTAGAAATCCAGTCTAACCTACTGTCATGGGGGGAGAGGAACACTAGGTAACATGTAACTGCTAAATTCAATTGTTTAAGCAGATCAGGCAAGGGATGGACTGTGTCAGGGAAAGCTGTGCACGCATACACATACGCACATGCACACACGTGCAGCTACAGTCACCTGAGACCTTTCCCAGTTGCCATTCCAGTGAGCCAGCACAGTGGAGCCCAGGGGGAAAGGCAACTCTTGCTCCTGCTGGCCCTAGAATCAGGCTCTGGGCATTGGCCGGGCATCGGCGCATAACCGTTTACCTGGGGCCCCTGCCACCACAAGAGTTAGGAGAGCCACATAATGATAACCACCTGCCATCTTTGTTACCAGGGGTTTTAATAGTCAGATGGTGGCACCCACCTCCAATCCAATCAGTCTGTGACTAATCACCTGGACCTGCCCATCAATTTCAGATGTTGTTCTCCTGTCGCTTGCTGACCTGTGGCCTGTACTAAGGCCCCTCATACTCAGGTCTTGTTTGCAGTGCCCTGTTGTCTGTGACTGATTATATCCAGTTAATATGGCAAAAGCAACATAAACTAATTTAGTACAAGGTGATTAAAGAAAAGGTACTTTCCTAAGGGTTATTGCTATTAGGACCCATTAGAATCTAAGTTAGTTTATTGTTTCACCTATGCACAGACTAGCTGGGGAGATTATAGACCATCCGATCAGTCAAAATCCACTCAAACTTTACAGGTTTTTGCTACTTCCCACTCCTTGCAGACCACTGAGAGTGCAGTAGTTGTACTGTCGGTGCCCAAATCCATCAGCCCAAAACACATTGGGGCTACAGACTCCGGGAGAGTCATCTTCTTAAAACATCTGATCTTGCCTCTTGTTATCAGGGTTGAATGGTGATTTACCCATGCTACCAACCATTCTAAGCTTGGGCAAGTTAACCAAGTAAAACAACACAGACATAACCAAATACAAAATAAGAAGCTAATTACAATCAGTAGCACAATGATAGTTTTGTAGGGTAACTTTATTACCAGCTGTTTGCCAGTCATATTAATTCCTCGGTCACTTGAAAAATAATTTTCAATGAGATCTACATAACACTGAATCTCTGTAAAACAAAGCTCTTCTACCATTATTCATCCTTTCTATTAATGCATTTTTTTCATGTATCTGAAGAGACTCTCATTCTTTCACAAAGCAGGAGGTTTAAAGAACACATATACTGTAGCTGACTATTTCTTTGTCACAGCTGGAAGCCCACTAATCTCCTCTAATATTACATTTTTCCTTACAAATGCTTTCCTTACAGATGCTTTCTGCATCTGTTTGTGAGATGATAGCCATTCATTTACATATGAAATTTTTTGAATGAAGTCTAGTGATTTTTTTGAACTGATGGCCGTGAAATGTTTTGACATTGGCAGGCTTTTAAGAGCTTTCTCGTTCGTTGTCAATGTTGTAAGTTTAGCAAAATTGCTATTTACTACACAGAAACTTTGAACAAATGATGGAAACAAGCCATAAAATTTCTGATTTACCAGTGTTTAAATCACTTTACCAGCAGTTCATGGCTCAAACATATTTAGAAAGCATGATATAAAGTGTATAAAAATTTGATATGATATTATCTATGTCCACAAGAGCTATTTTAGTCCAGTTATAGAGAACACTATAGGCAGAAGAGAATGAATACAGACATGAATAAAATATCCTTTCCTTTGTTTATAGATGGCTACATAGCTGATTGCCTACACTTCACAACACTGCCTGTTTATTTGAGGGGAATCTGCTGCCTCAGGTGCTCTCTACAGCCATTCTTCAGTACCTTTCATACATATAAAATGCTGTTGAGTAACACACTCCATGCCAATTTAATATTTATTTGGAGAAATTCATGGAGTGAGGGCAGCCATGGTTTCCTGATGAATTTGGCATTGCCTTGCTATGGGACCAAAATCATTATGCAAAGATCTCCTCGATATAATGTATGAATGTTTAATGCAGCTTTATTTGGGTCTAAATGTTTAACAGGCATTTAATAAGAAATTTTCCACCTTAGGAGCCTTCTAGTTTGATACACTCTTCATTCATGCACATAAATACAAATCAGTGAGCTATCCACTTCATTTTAAGATAAATATCTGCATTTGGTAAACAGAATCGCTGTAGATGCTATGATCCATAGTGAGAGTTTAGATGCCTAGTTCATATGTAGCCAGCTACATTGTAGAGACACCTATGTAAAACACGTCGCGTGTCATTTGAGCTACCCTAGATTATGCAAGGTATCTTTATGAGACTGGCAGGTATGACACAGGACTTGCAGAGGACCCACCACTTTTGAGGGAGGCAGCCAGACCCAGCTGGACAACTAACAGTGCTTACAATCATACCAGAGATCTTTGCTGAAGCAACTGTCCCTCACCCAGGACTCTGAACCTGGATCTGATTCCCCCACAAAATGTTTACAGGAACAGTTCAGTCATCTAAACATAAGCATCTAGGATTATTTCAAACACCCTAGGTTATCCTGGCTGGATTCAGCAGCAGATTCAGAATGGCACAGGTATCCCACATGTCCTACATCATACCTACCAGCCCCAGAAAATCTCAAATAGTGCTGAAAGCTTATGTTTAGGAAACTGCATTGCACCCTCCAGTATTCTCCTGTACTCCCTTTCTTGTCAATGGAGAGAAAGAGGCACTTGGAGGTTATAATTCAGCTTAAGCTAATGTTGAGCTCTAGAGCAAATCCCATGAAATACACCCTATAGATACAAAATATTATATATTATAATATATGTATATATTATATACCTATATAGCATAATATTATTTATTATAATACTAACCAAAAGTTGCTTGGCCCCAAGGGTTCCAAACATTTGATAAGCAGTGTTAGTTCAGTGAATTCTGCTATACACAACTAAAAATGGTTAAATAGTACCTATTTGAAGCTTTAGAATGGAAAATCTTCCCATCCCCCTTACAACTTCAGCAGTAGAATCTTTTCTCAACTAATTCATGTCTACAGCTAGATTTTTATCTGAAAGTGTCAGTTTAAACTTCATGAATTTATTTCAGATATTAATTTGACCCGTGTTATCCATAGCTAAGAGCTCCCTGTGCCAAGCATGTACTTGCTCTAAAAAAGAGAACAGAATTCTATGGGAATAATAGAAAAAGTAGCATTATTAACAAGATATTTTACTCTTTTAATATACTTCATGTATTTACTCATCAACTTATAACCTGTTTGTATTGATATACCACTTGACTTTTTACAGTCTGTAACACTGACAGCCTGGCAAAAGGAGTGAAATGCAATGAATTGTTGCAGCTCTGCTCCATCCTCCCCAAATAAAGCAGCTTTCTGGCCTGTCAGCAGCACCATAAGATCTGATTGGGCATATTTTGGTAATATCTAACAGGGTTCAGCCTTGAGTGTTACGATCTACTGGTCATTACATAGCAGAAGTGAAAATAATGCAGTTATTTTCCTTTCCTTGGAAGAAAAATGCAACATATACCTAATAACTTTTGATAAATTACTTTTCAAGGACAGTTATTGTGACTTTAAAACACCATTATAGAAATAAAATAATCCATAACAAGCTGATTATGTCTTCATACCTGTTAGACTATCATTAGATTACAAAGAATTGTATTTGTCTTTCTTGGGAAAAAAGTGGATGCTTAGAGAAAGAAACTTGTATAGTCTATATGAAATTAAAAGCTTTTATTTAAAAGAACTCACTGCTTTTTGAATTAATCTACAATTTCTGCTCCATGAGCACTGCTTTTATCTTTTTTGTTTGAAGTTGCCAGATATTTCATGTATATACAAGATACAGTGGGAGCAGCGCGCTGGAGGAAGTTTGCAGTCATGACACTGAATTTATTTTGTCTCTAGTAAGCCAGCAATTAGGAATTTTAATAAATTCAACAACAATGAACTATATGCCACAAAATAAGAATTTTGCCAACAGAGATGAACTGCTCCCAAAGAACACTAGTGCCATCCATGAAAGGAAAAGTGGATCTAAAAAGTTTGATATTCTGCTTAGACATATGTAAGCCTACTTGAACCTTGTTGTTTCCAAATACTGTCATAGAGTTAGGAGATATTTTAAAAGAACTATCAATTCCAAATCCATATATCAAAAAAAAAAAAAATCTTGTTACTTATAAAACCTCCAAGTAATAAAATTGGAAGAAGATTGCGAAACTAGTTACTCTTCAATGGATCAACTTTCAGTTTCTGGTTGTTTTAATGTAATCTAATTGGATAATAAATGTGAGAGCTGAATTTAGGAGCAGTTATAGCACAGAACCAAATGTTTAAAAGCTAGCCTTTAAATGAACGTTAGCTCTTAACTGTTACTTAGTTGGAACGAGGTACATAAATATTGCTGGGCACCCAGAACAAAACCTGAGTCTTTGCAACAGAGAAACAGGTAGGCTGTGTAAGACATAATCCAAATAGCAGTCTTCCCGTTGTCTTTGAAAGGCCCACTGACAGTAATGGGACAGTGTAGATAATATTTTGGTTTGTTAACAAAAACTTATTTGAAAACAATTTGCT